TTTCAAAAAATAATACGAGTAGTAGTAGTAGTAGTAGTAGTAGTAATAGTAGTAGTAGTAGTAGTAGTAGTAGTAGTAGTAGTAGTAGTAGTAGTAGTAGTAGTATAACCTATAGAAAATTAGTGGAAAGCCGAGATACAATCTGGGCCCCCACTCCTCTAGCTATAGAAAAGCCGATCCTAGTAAAGATATGAGCTGCAGCACGCGCCCCAATGTCCTGAGTCTTCGAGAACCTCTGGATCCGCTTCAGCAATGCAACAACTTCCTTTTCTAACTCCCCAAGAGAAGAGAAAGAGAAAGGAAGAAAGTCATATCCAATCGCACGACAACTGGATTCGTACTTGACCCGCTTCCGATTGGCCGCATCAGTCACTACCCGTCCAGGAACAAAGTGAGATAGTCCAGACTATGTCAATGGAGAAAACCCTGTCAAGTCAACACAGACATCGCAACCACGATCCCATGAATAAAGTAACACATCTGCAGGTCTGAGAGCTTCATCATTCCCTCCAGACAACCTAATAATAATAATAATAATAACACATACCAATCAAAAATTTGTGAAATTTAAGGATTCAAAATTGAATATTTACTCATGAATAACAATTAAAATTCAGAAATGAACACACTATAAAGATATAAAAAATCTATAAATACATGAGAATGAAAATTTATAAAATCTAAATGAACACGTTTTGTATTCTAATTGAACATTCAAATCACTTCCATTAAACAAAATATGACAATTAAATTATTCTTAAAAATAAATTTGAACGCATTGCTAGAAAATGAACAAATATTAATATCTAAATGAACATCTTTTAGCACAAAAATGAACATACACTAAAAGTCAAATGAACATCTTCAATACGAGAATGGACAAATAAAAAAAAAAATTGATTTAGCATTTTTTAATATATAATTACAAACAAGTAAGAGTATTAAAGAATGAAACAAATATCTATCTTTTAATATGAGAATGAAAAAGTATAAAACTAATGAATATGCTTAGATATAAAAATAAATATTGTATTATGCAAATGAACATCTTTCCATATGAGAACTAACATGTAATGCAAAGAGAATGAACATGTACCAAATTTAAATGAACATATATTAATACTAAAATGATCCTAAATGAATAGACAAATATTTAATAACATCCGATTTACACTAAATTAGTGTAAATCGGGATGGGCATGCAACTTCATCAACTCTAAGCAATGGAGTCACCGTCGAAATCAGCCGCACCAACGCCGAGAAAAATACTCACCGCCAAACCACCAACCTGTCGCCACTCTCAGTTGCCGACCGTCGAACTTCCTTAGCTTCTCCCAAGAATTCGGCGTCCCCCCCCCCCCGATTTCGACCTTGCTGACCACCTCCATCCCTCGATTCCGGCGTCGCTGACCTCCTTCAACCCCTGATTTGCGTCGAACTCCAATCCCTGCCACGATTTCGCGTCGAACCCAATGTCGGGTTGGGTAGGTTTTCGAATAGTCTTGATGTTGGCTTGGGTTAATGGGGTTTTGGCCGGGTTGGCTGGGTGGGTGGATGGGATTCCGATCTGAAAATTGAATTTTCAACAATGGTTAGGTGTCGTTGGTGATTTAATTAAATTGAAAGTTGACCAATATTTACATAATTTATTCATCATTAAGCATTATGTACTCTACCCAGCAAGTAAAAAGAAGGAGGAACTCCCTATTCAAGCCCCAATTTCAGAAACAAGCTAAGCTAATTGTTTGTTAAGCATACGACATCAATCAAGTATACTTTTGCATGCATTTGTGTTTATTTTTGTTGATTTTGATACTCTGTTTTTGGGAAAAAAAGGTCACTTTTGTGAAAAAATGGTCACTTTTGTGAAAAAAGGAGTCACTTTTGTGAAAAAAAAGGGTTACTTTTGTGAAAAAAAGGAGTCACTTTTGTGAAAAAAAAGGGTCACTTTTGTGAAAATAAGGGTCACGTTTGTATAAAAAAAGGGGTCACTTTTGTAAGAAAAAAGGGTCACTTTTGTGAAAAAAAAGGGTCACTTTTGTGAAAAATATGGGTCACTTTAGTAAAAAAAAAAAAAAGTCACTTTTGTAAGAAAAAAGGGTCACTTTAGTAAAAAAAAAAAAAGAGTTACTTTTGTAAGAAAAAAGGGTCACTTTTCGCAAAATGTTCGATGTACAATAAAATTATTGTAAACCGGGGGCATGCAAAAGTTTTTGAAATGAATATGAATTCCATTTTAAAATGTTGTATTTTTCCATCTAAAAGGAACATTTATGATGGATACTGGCCAAAATTTGTCAAATAACACTTTTTAGTGACAAAATAAGTAACATGGAGTATAAAGGGCATGTTCACGTTTACTGAACTGAGTTGAACTGAACTGAACTGATTGGAGCTGAACTGAACTGATTGGATCTGAACTGAACCTGAAATTAAGTAAATGTGAACAGACCCTAAATAATATTTGATGCTTCAATTTCATAAATCAAATTGATAATTTGTCTTTAACTTTAGTTATTATAAATTTATAATTTGTATTTTTTTTTGCACTTATAATTTGAACATTAATTGTTCTACAATTGAACATAAAGTCCATCTAAAATAAATTGTAACACCCCCGATTTACTAGCTAATAATAACCAATAAATAAAGGAAATATAGACAACCTTTAAATAAAATTTGCGGAAGCATACACTTAAATCGGAGGTATTACCGCCACACTCGACAATCTGTCAAGTGTTAAGGCTTACAAAATCCCAATAATTACAACCCAATAAACTAGGTGAGCTATTTATACAACTTTATAAAATCGTTATAGCATACTAATCGATCACTTAAGCTCCTCTAGCTACGATCACTTGATTAACCTGCTTAGACAAACTTGACTGCTCACCATTAAGGACAAATTCCAAAATAGATCGTCGCAGGGCCACCATAAGAAAAAGACATGGCCTCAAACACAAGTAGCACACCAAAACAACACACACGTCAGCAAAAGCTGAGTAATCACCACATATCAGAATATAGAGTATAATATAATAATTAACATTACTAGACCAATTAAACAATGTAGTTCGAAACTACATTACACATTGTACTCTGAAAATAACCTTTAACAACTCAACCTCGAATAATAGTACGAACCTTTACTCAACTTATAGCCAATAGTGTGCCATGCTCTTTGTTTTATACCTAGCCTTGGACATGGGTAATTCGAATAAAACCAACAAGTATAAAAACTTGAATACTCCCAATAACTAGAAAACACCTTGAACCAGACCACATACGGGTCAATTTCCACTGTAGGGGACCATAAAAAAAATAAATAATAAAGATTGTACCTAATTCTTAACTCATGATTACCATCTCCTTACCAACATGCCAAGGACTAAGGTTTATAACGCCGAGCCTCAAACCAAGAATAAAATAATAATTCTCAACCTTTTGATCTCATACTTGATCAAATAATCATAAACTTGATAATAAATAGTATCTCAATAATGGCACGAGTTCCCAAATAACATGACAATTCGATCACAATATCTCAACTCTTAAAAAAAATACTAATAACCCAAATATAATCAAATCTCAACCCAAAAACAATACTCTGCATTAACAACCTAAAACCTTGATAAAACAATACTCCCTATAACAACAACATTAAAACCCTAGCAATAATTGTACAATCAATATATACAACAAAAATAAATAATACGATATTCAAATCTAATCAAATCATATAATACCATAATAATTAATCATATATACAAAGAGTACAAATAATAAATCATATCACACATAACAATACGAAAATACAAACATCTCAAAAATATAGTGTGATTACCTTTCCGACGAATACCAAAACAATGAGACACAATTGAGAACGAAATATAAGACAAATACTCCAACACTTCAAGTAGAATGACACGCAAATTCCACAGTGAGTGACGAGCAAAATAATTGAATCAAATAGTTGTACGCTACTCGAAACTCACGTCCAACAATTGATGAGTAAATAAAAGGCTTGATGATAAAAGTTTGGGTGAAATCATAAATCATGATGATAATCACTATAGCTTGAGGTATTTTTTGATAATAAAATCAAGATTCTGAATGTTCAAAAGTGACGAGATGAGCAAGCACAAAAAAAAAAAAAAAAAAAAAAAAAAAAAAACAAAAGTGACGAGCAAACGGCAAAAGAATAAAAACAATTAAAATAATAAGGGTTTATTAATATTTATAGGTGTTAATAAAAGAGTCTATTTAAACAATATCGGGTTTTAAAACTTTCCGAACTCTAAAATAAAAAAAAATATGAGATTAGGAAAGTTATTTAATAAATAAAAATAACTATTTTTTTATAAAATATAATATATAAAATTACAAAATATTCGGGTATTACAATCTACCCTCCTTAAAACAAGTTTCGTCCTCGAAACTTAAAATAGAAAAATTTTAGGGTATTACAATCTACCCTCCTTAAAACAAGTTTCGTTCTCGAAACTTAAAGTAGAAAAATAATTTGTAAATTTGAAAGAGAGTAAAACTAAACAAAACTTTTCTTTGTAAAATATATAGATAGAGTACTAAAATATTAGGGGTATTACATATTTTCGACAGAATAAATGTACTAGTTGAAATTCACCAAATAACAATTTCAATTAAATTATAATATAATTATGGAAAATTCTTATAACATAATTCAATTATTATAATAAGAATCATTTCTACTAAAAACTATGAGAAATCACAAAATCTAATTGAAATTCTTATTAGATATGTGAAGAATTCTAATGATTGTTTATTAATAAGTAAATGATCATATACTAGTATATAAATGAACATTTAGTAAAATAAAAATGAACATTCATTAAAAAAAATCCATTACGAACGAAATTTACATTTCTATAATTCTACGAAATAAATCAAATTTATATGGGAAATTCTCTTTGGTAACATTGCAGTTTTTAATTTTCTTAGTGGAAATTGCAAACTTTTTTATTATCCTTGGTAAACTCCAATTAGCTATAATAGTCAAATGGTAACATCAATGATGTTTATATGCAATTATAAGCCTAACCATGGTTAATTATTTATTTTTAAATAAAATTATTAAAAAATTTAAAAAATTTCCTTTCCCCCACTCACCCAGCCACCACCTGACCCCCTCTTCGGCCGGCGACACCAAGCTCCGACGATCCCCTACCCCTCAACTCCCTCCCTTCCGACGACCCCCAACCCTCCCTCACTCTCGATTCCCACCTTCCCTCTCCCACTCCCACTCCCCCACCCCGATTCCCATCCCTTCTCACTCGATCCCTAACGAAAATTCGACCACTCCGGCCTCCCTTTCCCCGAAAACGCTCGCTTCTCCTGTTCCCTACCACCTTGAATGGTTGAATGCCACAAATCTGCCCATTTCACGCACAAAATTCCTACAAAACAACCTCTTTTCTTGTGAAATTATTTGAACAACCTTAATATAATGTAGTGAAATTGAGATGGTCTTGGGGTTCAAAGGCAAAAAGAACTGATTCCTAGGAAAATTAGGAAGGAGGAGATGAAGGTAAAGGTTGAAAACGACGTCGACGAAATTGAAGGTGAAGGTGTAGGCGAGGGTGAAGGTTAAAATTGCAGAGCTGAGTTTTGGAGGTTCAAATTCGGGAAATTTCTAGGGATTGTTTGGGGAAGGGGATTCGAGGCTGAATTGAGGCCGACGGTGGGCGGTGGTGGCTGCTGTCGGATTGGGGGAGTGGGAGGTCGGTGCGCCGGTGACAGAGAGGTTGAGCATCGGTGTCAGTGGGGCCGATAGTGGTGGGCGGTTGGAGGGGTAAAAGGTGGGTTTTTTAAAAAAAAATTTTGTATAATTTTTTTTTAAAAGTAATAAATCTATAGTAACATATAAAGTGAAAGGGGGTTTTGGGTGATAAATTTGTATTTTCCCAAAATGCCCTTCTCTATTTCCTAATTTACTTTTTTTTTTATTTAGATTTTTTTAAAAAAATTGACCAGTAAAACCACGTTTTAGTTGGTTACTTGAAAAAAAAATGGATTTTTTTTAACTTATCCACATTTTACTTCATTGACTGTTGTCAAAAACAAAACAAAATTGTTGCGATAATAAAGTCCTACGTAGTCTATTGCTCCCAGTACATCTTCATACAGTTTGAATGAAATTATACTCCACTTACAAAAAAAGTTAAGCCTATTGCTCAATCTTTTATGGTTAAAACTCAACGATTATATTTTTGAGGTTTACCTACAATATGTCTACACCATATGCACCTTTTATATATTTACATCCATATTCTCGAAAGTGGAATGTGAAAGCCCGGCTTATCAGATCGTTTGACATTCAAAATACGAAACATGGTCGAAAAATATGGAAAATGATTTTAATTGACGCTACGGTAAACCATTATTTCTCTATACTTTTTGTGTTAATCATACTTTTTATTACTGACAAAACTTACTAACTCCTATAATTTTATTTTATTTTATTTTATTTTTTTTCCTGTTGTTAGGGAGAGCCAATTCAATGTGTCATATTCTCAAATGATGTCGATCAGTTTGTTGGAAAATTACAGGAGGGATTGGTATATTTGTTTGAAGGTGCACATGTAATTGATGCCGATGATTGGTTAAGGTTAATACCAAATCAATACCAATTGAATATAACTTGAGAAACAAAGGTGTCAGTTATTGATACAAATGATGACGAATTCCCAAAAAGTTTCTACAATTTAGTTTCCCTACATGGTGTAAATTCCTTAAAAAATTTCGCAAAAAATTTGATAGGTATTTTATTCTTCTTATAATACTACTTAAAATTTGATGTTTTTTAAGTAGTCAGTTGATGATTATATAGATTCTTTTTCTTAAATGTATTACTTTAACTCTACAATTTTTTGTTTATTTATAATGTAGATGTCATGGGAATTATTATTTATTCAACTGGAACTATCGCGATTGACAATGGAGAAAGTATTAAACAAGACATTGTTATACTCGACCAAAGGTAATTATAGATTTTTATTTTAATCTATCCAAATATTGTATATATTCATTACTAACATAATAAATTTTATTTTAGCAGTTGCTTTGCTATGAGATTGACCATATGGAATTATTTTGTGAATGAAATCGGCAAACACCTTTTGGAAAACATTCACCAAAATAACATCTTGCTAGGGTGTGGGCTACAAATTAAATACTTTAATGGTGATTTATTTATTTTACATTTTTCTTTGTGTTGTCTACTGTATCATTGTTACTTTTTACCTTAACTTCATTATATTTTTCAGGGTCATTATTTTTAACAACAGGAAAATACACAAGGTTGTATATAAACCACAATGATCCTACTTCTTCTAGCTTGATGCAGTGGTGAGTATTTTTTCTTTACTTTTAAAAACTTTCGTTTCTTTGATGAGCATTTTTTTTTCTTTAGCGTGTGAGTGTGTGACTCTTAAAATTTAATGTTTTTAATTTTATTTATTTTTGACAGAAAAATTTGTTGTTTATTAATATTACTATACATAATTATAGTGTAGTCCAATAATTTCCTATTGCCTCTCCATTATAAATTGTTTACGTTTGTTCATGTGATTAAGATTATTAATGTAGTAGTTATTTTTCCTTTTCCTTTTTCTATTTTATCAAAAAAAAAATTTAAAACCACAGTCATCCCAAAAACGTGTAGATAATTATATACTTTAATTATTTGATATATGTTATCACCTACAAAATTATTTGACATTAAAAAGGATAAGAATTGAAATGTCACCATAACAACTAGATACTCTTGATAGGCTTAAAATGATGACACCCATTACATAATATAAAGTAAACGTAATGTATGTGATACTATCCTTCTTTTTTTTCCACTCACTACTGTATCATATGTATTTATCTCAGGTTTCACAATGATCATTTTGCACAATTAAAAGTCAAGTGGATACAAACATGTGACCTTTCACTGGATAAGACACTTACAACATCAAATGCATGACGTACAACAATATCTCAATTTCCATCAATGCCAAAAGTAATTTCATCTCAATTTTACCTACATTTTTATTATGATTTTTACCTTACATTACTATATCACTTAGCTATTTTTAAATGTCTATTAAATATTTTTTTTAAACGTGTCATTTATTTCAGGGGAAAATTTACAGAATAATTGGAATGTTGATAGATATAAATTAAAAAAAATTTCAATTGGTATGATGTGTGCTCTATTTGCAACAATAAGGTGTACTACAATGTTGGTCAAGTAATATGTTATAAGTGTCACAAAAATGATGTTCAAATTATTCAAGGGTGAGTTATTTATTTAATTTTTATTTAAAGTTTTTGCAACATTATATTTTTTTAGTCGTAGGTTTCTTATTCATTTATATTTTGTTTGGGTTGCTCTTACAATTACTATCAGAGACTCAAGTGGGTCAATGCGTCTAATATTGTTCAACAAACAAATTGAGTATCTTCTTCGTTCTACAATATCTGAAGTTAAGGAATGGATTGAATCGGTATACACTAATACATTTACATGAATATTTACAATATTTATTATTGATTTCAACTATTTTAATTTATATATTTAATTTAATTCATTTTTTAACTATTGTCCCACTATATCATTATAGGTAAATGAGGGATCAAAACTTAAGGAGAAGTGTCAATTGAGTTTGTACAATGCATATGTTTTCACAATAATTTCTCCAAGTACGCATTCTCCTCTACTACCCTACAAAGTCAATTTTGTGACATCCGTCAGTTGGAAAGAAGAATGTGCACATTTACTCCAAAGGTTTGTACTACCTTTATCATTTAATTATTAATAATTTTTACATTGTAGAATACATAATAATTTTTTTTTTCTAAATTTTCACTACCTCTAATTCAATCTTCTACATTGCAGGATACATAATGATATCAACAACTCAGTGGAAAAATCATAAGATGGGCGAAAGTCTATCTTCAACAATTTCTTAGGAACTTTTTATGTGTATATGTGTTTGCTTACTTAGATTGTACATATTTTAGAAAATCTCCACACTTTTTCTATTAGTACTCTTTTAAGTACTTTAGTTGATGAGTTCCTTTATGTAAATATTATATTCTAAAGGTTTTAACAGATATATGTGTATTGTATAGATTTTATTAGATATATATGTATAGTACTTTATTAGATGAATTTTAAATACTTTATTTATTTTATTTTATTTTTAAATAAGATGACAAAAAACAAAGATTGTACATAATCCATAAAAAAAAAAAAGAAAAGAAAAACATGACAACAAATCTCTTTGCTCTACGCTTTTAAAAAAAAAAAAATTAAATTAATTAATAAGTATATGAATGTGAGTTTTAGAGTATGCAGCTATAATACAACTTATATTGTTCTTAATAGTTTAAGCATAATAATTTGGACTATCTTACATTATAAGAGGATTAAGTTAATACTATACAAATAAAGAATTAAGTTAATAATGTATACGGAGTATTAAAAAAAATTCCAGCTTGGCAAAAAGTTATCTTATTCCTATTGAGGCGACTAATAGATGATTATCGATCAGACTATATGTAAATTAACTTTCTATACTCAAATAGATTTTAATTCTTTCTCCCTTAATTCATCTCCATAGTCATTACCACCTTAACATTTGTTTCTTTTATTTTGACAAGGGTGTAAGGTCATATAAATGAGAGATGGCATTGATTTGTTTGATGACATAATATCAAGAAATAGATAAGAGGACAGAAAATGAAATTTGATTAACTTAGTGCATTTAATTGAAGTACATACGAGTTCTATAAATATCTTGAAGTCATAAACTATACAAAGTTTTTTTTTTTTTTTTTTTTTTTTTTTTTTGGAAGAAATAAAAAATACAATTTTTTTTTTTTGGAGAGAATAAAATATACAAAGTTAAACATTGTAAACCTATTCAAAAAAAAAATTAAAAATTGTAAACCACTTCCTTATTTCATGAAACAACTAACGACAACATGATAATAAGATACTTTGACTAAGCAAAACTCCACTAAAACAAAAGTGTATGTGTATCGTGGTTTATGTGGAATTATTTTTAAAGTAAAAATAAATAATTTACTCTTTTTAATTTTTTTTTAATGTATTAACTACTATAATTTATCCTTTTTAAAGGCTATTTAAAATCTACTGTAAAACATTAAAAATCCTTCAGTTATCTTTTTTCAAAACAAAGTCTGCAAGGGTACTATAGTAAAGTTAAATAAACATTAAAAAAAATGAAAAAAGGATACTAAACTAACATGTAAGCAGTTACGTTTAAGATTTGATCATCTAACTTGATGGTTACATTTTCCTTTTTTTCAACCTCTTTCTTTTCTATCTCATTATCTATTCGCAAAAGATACCATAGTTAATTTATTGCATTGATAAACTTATAGAAAAAGTTGATTGACATTAATATTACCAACAAAAACATACTATCATAATGCTTAAAAAGGACCACTACATGGCTTGATTGGTGTTGACAGTAAACAAAAGTGGGCAATCTCGGCTAGCGGCCAAGTACTACGAGTATACCTTGGGGTTGTGATTTTTTAGGTCCCGCTCGATCGACTGCATCAATTTATTTGTAGATCCTTTCTTTCTTTCTTCTTTTTTACTTTTATTAACTATTGTTAATCATCTAATTGAAAGAGTAAAGTGTTTTTCATATATTCAAGAAGTTAAGAGTACAATATTTATACACAAGAGTTCTCCTAAATTAAAGAATGAAATAATATCTAATGTAATAATATCTTTGACAAGATATTGAGAAAAGGTAATTATACAATATTAGAAGATCACAAAGTAATTGCATGATCAAAAGATATGATATTGATGTGTCTATTTTATATAGTATTTTACCCCCATCCCTTGGTCGTAATTAGTAGTATTTTTGGCTCTTTAGAGCCACTTTTATTACTAATTGGTGTTTTCTAGTGTTTTCGTAGATTTGGTTAACTTTTGCAGGGATTTATGCTTTTGGAGTATTTTCCCGAGATATTTTGGAGCAATCACGAACATTGGAGAAGCACGACCAGATTCTATAGCCCAGGCCGGTTAGAGCCATCGAACCGGTGATTAAGGGCTCGGTATAGGTGATACCGGGGCATTTGGTCCGAGTATTCAAGACCGGAAGAGGAAACTCAGATTGGCCCGAAGAATTGGAGCCCAATCGTAGACCAAATAGTGGCCCAAGTGAGCCGCCCGGCCAAAGAGGCTGGCGCCCGGAAGCGTGCCCGGCCGGGAGAAGCTAATTTTGGCGCCCGGTGACGCGCCCGGCCGGGCGCGAGATTAGTATTAGGGAGAAAAAAAAGGCGCCTCCGATCGGGCGGTGCCTCGCCCGATCGGGCGCGTGTATTTATTAGGAGACGATTAACGTCGTTTTAGTTTGTTTTAGTTTAGGATTTGTACGGAGTATAAATACTCCTCCGTAATACGATTTTATCTCTCTCTCTTCTTCCTTTTACTCTTTCTTTTACTCCCTTAATTGTTTTCTTAGATTCTCTCCCTCTTAAAACCTTTACTCTTAATCCATTCTTAATTCCAGATTTGTTTGGTAACTATTTCTTTTCTCTTTATCTTAGTTATTTATTCTATTCCTTTAATTATGTCTTTCTTTATTGCTTTGATTAATTTAGTTTCTATTATGTGTGAGTAGTATTATTTCTAAGGTTTATGGGGATCCTTAAATAATATGAAGGGGTAATTTATTGTTGTTGATTGTCAATGCTAGATTAATTTCCTATTGATTGATTTAATGCTCTGTGACTAGATTAGGCCTGATCTTTTATGCATGAGTTTGACAATATTGATTCGAGATTCGACAGATGAGAATTGATGTTTAGGTCTAGTTTCAATAGGCAGATTAATTTATAAATGGTTAAGTCGAGATTCGAGAGATGAGATCTAATACCGGTAGATTAATTATGTGATTGTAATACGTAGCGAAATCCCTTTACAATCTGGTTAATTGATGCATTGATGATTGACTATTATTGGTTTTTGATATTGCATGATAATTTCTTATTGAATTTTTTTAACGCTTTACAATTATGGCTTGTAAAAGTATAGCAATATTGAATTGATGAATCGAGCAGATGTTAATTTGATATTAAAGGTTATTTTCAATAGGAACTTAGATCTAATAAATTGCGAGAGCCTGTTAGATCTATGTTGATTAATAAATTGCGAGAGCCTGTTAATCATGTTATTTATGCAATGTCAATGATTGATTATTATGTTTTACCCTGGAGTATTATTTATTGGTGAACCTATCCCCTAGATCCTTTTATATATTGTTTTCTCTTTATTCTCATTCTTCGTAGTTTAGTTTCATATTCAACTTATATATTGGTTACTTCATAATCTAGATTATATTAGTTAATTAGGAATAGAAAGATCCGTTTCTCTGTGGATTCGACCCTACTTCCCTATCTGCTTTAGTTAGAGGACTTAGATATTTATTTTTGATTAGGGATACGACTTTACCTTGTCAAAATTTGGCGCCGTTGCCGGGGAAACGGTTTTATTTTTATTTCCGATTGTTTTTGTAGTCTACATTATTTTCCTTTTGTCTCAAAGAGCGTTAGTTCTTTGAGGCAAATCTCACATTTGCTTCTAGTTTTTGTTTATGCCCAGGTGTTCCAGATCAGGGTACATCCCATTCGATCCTGAGATCGAACGTTCCTTCCATAGACAGAAAAATCTCTACAAGCAAATTCTGGCGGATTCTGGTGATAATAATAATCACCGCGATCCTCCAACTGGTTCTAGCGATTCATAGGCATCATCAGACGCAGAATCAGAGATGGCGGTTCTAAAAAAGCTTAGTGATTACTCACAACCAAAGCTTACAGATTTTCCACATCTCACCCCTACTCCGGCTCTTGATGGGGTTCAATTCGAAATTAAACCTCAGTTTATAACGATGATAGAGAGGAAGCAATTTAGTGGGGCCAAGGGTGAAGTCCCAAATCTTCACATTGCCGACTATTGTCAATATTGTAATACAATCAGGCAAGCCGGGGTCACTTAAGACCAAATCAGGGAGATTCTCTTTCCCTTCTCTTTAACTGGAAAAGCTAAATTATGGTTTAATGGCTTAAATAGAACTGCACTTGGTATAACTGACTGGGAAACTCTTGTTTTGAATTTCTATAACAAGTATTATCCTGCAGAGAGAACAGCCGTACTACGGAGTGCGATTCAGAACTTTGCCCAAGAAGCCGATGAATCTTTATATGAGGCTTGGGAGAGGTTCAAGGATCTACAAAGAGGCTGCCCCCACCATAATTTAGCACAATTGCAGTTAATCCAAGCCATTTATAATGGCCTTGGAAATTCTTCTCGAATAATTTTAGATTCTGCAGCTAGTGGGAGATTTATGAATCTTGATGTTGAAGATGCAGGTCAGGTTATTGAAGACATGGCGATACACAATTCCCAATATGGGAATCCTAGAGGATTTTCTAACAAGGGGAAGCACAGTGTTGACTCTGTATCCTTTTTACAAGCTCAACTGACCTCTATATGCCAAAAATTAGATAATCTGAGCACTGCTAATGTAGCTAATGTTTCTGCGATTAATAATAATTCTAATGAGGCTTTCTGTGAAAATTGTGGTATTATAGGTCATTGGGAACAAGATTGCAGGAGTTCCGTGGAGCAATTTAATGCCTTTCAAGCCTATAGGCAGAATAACCCATACTCTAACACCTACAATCCTGGGTATCGGAATCATCCGTACCTTTCCTACCGGAGTACTAATGTTCAAAATCCACCACCACAAGAACCACAGGCGCCACAGCAATAGCAGCAGAAATATTACCATCCCAATGCTGGCCAGAAGAACCAACCACAACAACCCTCCTCATCTTCTGACCCTTCTCTGGTGGAAATTAGAGCAATGTTGGTTAATACGCAAAAGCGCATGGAGAGTAGAGATGCGACAATTGATCAAATTCTAGCACATAATAAAATTGTAGATAATCAAATTGCGCAACTTTCCGCTACTCTACAAGCCCGCCAACAGGGAGCTCTGCCGGCACAGCCGACCAGGCCTACGGATCAAGCATTTGCAATTACTCTAAGGAGTGGTTCAAACTATGAAGGGCCTTCTATGCCCAAAGTTGATGAACCTGATTTATTAAATAATGCTAATCTTGATTCCGTTAAACCAAACAATGTAGTTGATAGCCCTGCAGGGCTAAAGGATA